GGAAGCAAAGATCCGTTCAAGATAAGACTTGTCTCGAAATGAGACGTGAGGAACACTCAGAGAATAAAGTAGAAGGCACTTTATTTAGTCCTATTTTGAACGCTAAGGTTCGACTACACATCGCGGGGGTCAGGCTATTTATAGACAAGTCCGGACTTGGCAGCGAAGGGCGGCCAAGGGAGGGAAAAGTGGGCGATCGAGCAGGGCGAAGGGGGCGATGCACGAACGAGGGCCGAGAAGGACCACCGAGACAGGCAGAGAACCAAAGCGAGAGAGGCGCAAGCAAAAGCGAAGCACCTGGCAGGAGAAACGTGCAAAGGCGAAGCAATGTGACTCAACGTCCAAGAAGCGGATTGGTCAAGTATAAGGTTGGGGCAAATGCATGCGAGATGAACAAGAGATCGGGGCGGTCAGGCAGGTCATGAGTCACCGGTGGGGGGACACATGACCGGCAGCCGAATTGCAACCAATCGCAGCAAGGCGCGTGCACAAACAAACCGGCGCGTGCGAAGAAGACAAAGGAAGCGGAGCAGCGCGGGAAAACGGAAGTGCGGAAGGAGCGGAAAAGACAGGCAAAAGGCGGAAAATCGGAGGGGAACTGCAAGGCTACACACAAACAAACAGAAAGGCAAAAGAATAGCCAAGTGTGCAGTCAAAGTGGAGAACAAGCAGGAGCTATCCCTAACACATGTTCAGCTTGGTGCCGAGATGGTCGAACAGACTTGTCCAAAACAAGGAGGTGAATCGGGGGTCTCGATCACTGACGATGGACTTTGGGAGGCCGTGGTGCTTGAACACATGCTTGAAGAACAGCAGTGCAAGGTCAGGCGCGGAGCATGTCGTCTGGCACGGCACAAAGTGTGCCATCTTGCTGAACCTGTCGACAAAGACAGCGATTGCATCGTGGTCCAACTTGGTCGTCGGTAGATGCGTGATGAGATCCATGGACATGCTGGTCCAGGGGCGGTCGGGAACAGGCAGGGGTTGCAGCAATCCTTGCTCTCGGGTCGTGCGTGACTTGACCATCTTGCAGGTATGGCAGGACTCGATGTACTTCTCGACGGTGCGCTTCATTCCAGGCCAGTATGCGACTTTGGCCAGTCGGTCGTATGTCTTCTCGACTCCAAAGTGTCCAGCGAGGGGCGAGTCGTGGACCTCTTGGAGCAACTTGGTCTTCAACGACGGAATGTCCGGCACACAGACACGGCTGTCCTTCTTCAGGAGGAGCAGGCCATCACGCACTGTGTACTCGGATGATTCGTCGTCCTTGGGGAGCTTAGACACCTTTCGGAACAGTTCTCCGAACTGTTTGTCGTTGGCGATGTTGTCTCGGACAACATCCAGCATCGTGTTGTCGACACTGACAGTCGACTCGTACAGTGACGCCAATTGGTAGTCGGGGCGTCGGGACAGTGCGTCAGGCACCACATTGAGTTTGCCTTTCTGGTATACAACCTCGTAGTTGTACTCGGCGAGGAACTCCATCCATCGCGCTTGGCGTCGGCTCAGGTTCTTCTTGGTGTCGAGGTAACGCAGTGACTGGTGGTCCGTCACAATCTTGAAGGGCTTGGCGGTACCGTGGAGGTACACTCGGAACTTCTGCAGCGCGTAGATGATCGCAAGCTGCTCCTTCTCGTGCACGGGATAGTTGATCTCGTGTTGGGACAGTTTGCGCGACTCGAAGGCAACGGGCCTTCCCTCCTGCATCAAAACAGCTCCCACCGCAAAGTCGGAGGCGTCGGTGTGCACGGAGACATCCGTGTTCGGGTCGAACACAGCGAGGACAGGAGCGTTCGTCAAGGCGTGCTTGAGGGTCTCGAACGCTTGGCGTTGTGGGTGGTCCCACACGAAGGGGCACTCTTTGCGGAGTAGGTCTGTGAGTGGACCGGCAGTGCGCGCCAGATCGGGGATGAATCGGCGGTAGTAGTTGACGAGACCGAGAAACGACTGCACGTCAGAGACGCATGCGAGCGGCGGCCACTCGACCACAGACTTGACCTTGGCGGGGTCGACTTCGATTCCTCTTCCTGAGACAACGTGTCCCAGGAACGGGACTTGATTCTTGAAGAACTCACACTTGGACAGTTTGGCATACAACTTGTGCTCGCGTAGCTTGGCCAGCACGCGGGCGACATGACCTTCATGGGTCGCTTCATCCTTGCTGTACACAAGGATATCATCCAGGTACACGATGACAGAGTTGTCGAGCTCTTGGCGGAACACATCGTTCATCAGCTGCATGAACGTGGCAGGTGCGTTCGTCAATCCGAACGGCAGCACTAGGAACTCGTACAGTCCGTAGCGAGTCCTGAAGGCGGTCTTGTGGACATCATCCTCGTGGATGCGGATCTGATGGTAGCCTGAGCGGAGGTCTATCTTGCTAAAGACCTTTGCTCCACTCAGACGATCCATCAACTCGTCGATCCTGGGCAACGGGTAGGTGTTCTTGATGGTCTGTTTGTTTAGTGCGCGATAGTCGACGCACATCCTGAGATCACCTTCTTTCTTCTTGACAAAGAGCACTGGTGCACCATACGGTGACTGGCTCGGGCGGATGAACCCATGGGCGAGGAGGTCATCCAACTGGCGCTTGAGTTCGTCCATCTCCGTCAGCGACAGTTGGTACGTCGGTCTTGACGGAGGCGACGAGCCTGGTTCGATGTCGATGCGATGATCGACGGTGCGTTGGGGTGGCAGGCATTGTGGCAACTGGTCGGGGAATACGTCCTTGTACTCGTCGAGCAGCTTGGTCACCACAGGCGGGGGACCGGGACCGGCTTGGTCGGTGTCGTCGACCTCACGCACGACACAGAGGAACGACGTGTCCTTCTTGATCAGCCTCTTGAATTGCATGGCTGAGAGGAGAGGTGGCATGTTGGGTGAGGCCATGCCCTGCAGGACAATGTCAGGGCCAACACGGACAGTGCGGCCTTTCCAGTCGACGACTGGAGTCGGCTCGGCACGAGCAAGCCAGCTCATGCCGAGGATGGCATCGAACTTGGTGTCGATCACTTGGAACAACAGGACAGGATGGTACTTGGGATGGAGGGCCACTCGCAGGACCACTTGGTGTGTGCACTGCTGCACACGATCGTCTGCAAGCGCCACACTCATCGGCGACTTCTTCTTGGTTGCATGTATGTTGAGCTCCTGGAGCAAGCGTCTGCTGACAAAGTTGCAGCTTGCTCCAGAGTCCACCATCATTCGGACGGTGTGACCTTGGACGGTGGCAGGGAGGTACAGCAGGGACTCTTCATGGTCCTCCTGCACAGCCTCCTGCACCATGACTTGACTTGGGGGAACGGGCGACACTTGGTCTTGGTTGGCTTCATCACGGCCACTCGGACATTTTGGATAGGGTTCGGCCATTGCGGGGGCCTGCGGCGTCAGCACGCCATTGCACACGACGTCCACGGCTTGCGGACACATGTCGGAAGCATCCGACACACACGACTTGACAGGGGTGAGGGCACAGGCGGTCCTGTCCCTCAAGGGTTCTTGATTTTCTTTTTTGTTTTGGTTTTCAATTTTGGTTTTCTCTTCACGTTCGTGGAGAGGCAGGCGGCTTGCGCCACCATGCACCTCTCGCACGACGCACAACACTTGGTTTGTTTCTCCTTCGGGGGAGGGGGCGAGGTGAACTTCCTCTGGAGACGCGTGGACTGCATTGAGCAATCCACGGCGTTGGTCTCCTACTAGGGCTCCAGAGCCACCTAGTAGGGTCGGCCGTTTCCCGACTTCATGGGGCACTCCTTGGCCTGGTGTCCCGGTCGGTGACAGAAGAAGCAGGAACCATGGCGGAGGTCCTCCTGCTTCTGTCTGTCCTTGGGGGAGACAGTGGCAGCTTGCTGGAACCGGGAGCGGGGAGGGCCACGAGCCTCCATGGCGTTGACGTCAACGTCCATGGGCTCAGGCATGGGTCTTGCGGGCGGGGCCGGGCGAGGCGGACGGGCTGGGACGTGATGAGACCGATGGCCGCCTGCCAGCTGCGGGTAGAACTGGCGGCCATGGTACTGGACGTTGTCGAGGTTCTCGGCAACGTCCATCATCACGTCCAGGGACTTGCGGGCATCAGGGTTGCTGGCGATGTACTCTCTGATCTTGGGCTTGAGGCCCTTCTGGAAGAGGTACATCGCATCAGCAGAGCCCAGCTCCTCAATCTGGGAGGAGAGGTCTTCAAACTCCTCGATGTAGCGGGTCACAGAACCACGCTGCACGAGAGAGTATAGCTTGTCACGGGCAATGAGTTCAGCATTGGGGCTGCCGAAGCGGCGACGGAGGCGGTCCTTGAAGTCGTCAAACACACCTTCGCTCTGCTCGTCGAACCCTTGGCGGCGGTACCAACGGTACGCCTGGTCCTTTAAGCAGAGCTTGGCGGCGACGATGTGGTGGGTGGGGGCGACTTGGGCAGCATCGAGGTAGTCCTCGAGTTGCTGCAGCCAGTCCTCCACCGAGGAGGAGCGGCTCTTCCCAGTAAACACTGGGGCACGGAAGGTCTTGAGGAAGGCTTCCGGAAGTGGGCGGGGGTTGCTCATGGCAGGGGCAGGCTCCAGGGACAGAGAGGAGAGTCGGTCGGCAAGAGAGGCGGGATCCAGCTTGAGGATCTAGAAAGAGGACAAACAGGACGAAAACAAGACGAGGATTTCCGATGCTACCATGTAACGTCCACTACTGGGACGTTGGGGCAAGACGGGGAGGGAGGGGGTACAAGACAAGACAGGACGGGGCAGAACAGGGCGGTGCTAGGCTACTCTAGCGGACGGGTGAGCTCGGGGAGCACTTACGTTTATTCACGATAAAACCGAACTCCAGACAAACGGGGGGAACGGGGGCAACCCGCAGGTATACCCTGCGGTGGCCTGCCTGCGGTGCGTGAAAACGCAAAGCGCAGCACAGGTCACGACCCACTGCGCCGCGCAGTACGCGCAGTACGCGCAGCACAGCGTCGGAGATACCATCTCCTACACCTCCCCAAGAAGACGTACGAGTTCTCCAAGGACATGGTCGCCGCATTCCTCGCCAACGGCAGGGGCTGGCGTGAGCTCAAGAAGCGACTCGAGCGCGACTATGATTTCCTGGAGACGATGAAGTCGCGCAGCTACCCGTACACACCAGCCGAATATGCCCGCTATCGAGACGAGCACATCAAGACGCCCGAGGAGCTGCTTGTGTGGATCGATCGCCACGCAGCAGGCAAAGATGCCTTCAAGGACAGCATTGTGGCGATATTCCCGGCCATCGCTGAGCGAGTCGAGCAGGCAGTCGCTGCACTCCCCGAGCTCCAGCAAGACCATCGAGTATCGTGGCTCAATGATATCATCGTCCCGCTCATGGGCGTGAGTGTCCAGGACATTCGCAGCAAGTCAGAATACGACGACTTTGCCACGAGCAGCTACCAGGTCACTCCGGCATCCGCTGTTCAGAGCTTCCTGAGCATCGGCGACGAGGGCCAAGAAAGCAAATTCAGGTGGTTCGCTAGGAACCTGGTCAGATACCTTTACGAACGCCATCTCTGGAACGTCGCGGAGCACGACTTGTTGACGAAGCAGCAGGACCCATCCGAATTCGCCAGTCTCCTGACGATCAGCGATCTCAAGACGATGCTGCTGGAGCATGGACTTCGCCATCGCGGCATGAGCCGACGATCAGACAGCAAGCTCTGTGATCTCTACGCCACGAACAAGAAGCAGATCCAGCTCTTTGACGTGGTCCAGCGCATGTGCGAGATGCGGACGTTGTTCGAGGTGTATGATGCAAGCTATCGGGAGTATCGGGAAGCCAACGACCTTGACTGGAGAGAACCAGTCGAGTTTGAGGACCTCGAGCCGTTTGCTGTGAGGAGTTGCTCTGACGAGATCAATCGTGGCTACCCACTTGTCCACAATCGCAGGTGGTGATCTCGACATGGAGTGCGCATGTGCCACTCTCGGTTACCATCGAACACCACTTCATTCCCACCAGCCACCCACACACTCACACCATCCCTCTTCATCACTCTGGTGTTTGTGGATATGCAAATGACTCGGAAGAGACTCGGAAGAGACGTATCGAGTGGTCGGAAGAGACTCGGAAGAGGAATTTTTTCATGGAGTGTGATAATATTATCATTCAACACTGAAAACATGGAGAGAATACCACCGCGGAACTCACTCGGAAGTGATTTGGAAGTGAATATGGAGTGAGAAGCTCTTTTGGGGGCCGGTTGGGGGCATTGGAGAAGAAAAAACAAAAATTTTCAAGAAAAAAAAGATATTCCTGGCCGGGAAGGATTTGGGGCCCACGCTCGCATTCATGGAGTGGACTCGGAAGAGACTCGGAAGTGAAGCTCGCTCGATAAACATGGTGTGGGGCTGAAAACTCGTAAGAGACTCGGAAGTGAAACGTCGTCGCTTGTGAGCGGGTTGGAAGAGGATTGGAAGAAGGTGTGTGCACTCCATTCACTGCATGCATGCCTCGCGAATGCGCTTTTCGTAATACTCCCAAAGAGCAGTGTCATTGCTCCGGGTCACGATGGAGCGCTTGAGCAAGTCGATCAACATGGCTTGAACCCGGGGGTCGTTTCTGGCTGCTGCGATGTCGTCCAGAGCGATCATATCACCCCAGTTCTCAGGGCGATCCCAGAGATGTGATGCTCTGGGGGAAATGCGCAGGATTTGCTGGCGTGCTATCATGCTTCCTGCACGACAACTTGTGAGCAAAATGTACTGGTAGAGATTCATGCAGTTCATCGCTCGAGGGAACCCAATTGCATGCTTCATGCAGTAGAAAAACAGGACATTCCTGTCGCTTTCAGGGAGGCTGTGCCCAGACGACTCCAACAACCAACGTCGGACGGACGATGCATGGGGCGCATTTCGGATCCCCCCATATTGGCAGATGTCGTAGATCTGCTGGGTGCTGTCGCGATAACCACCCCGAGCACATTCGACCAGGAGATTCAAGGCCCGGTTCGGGTTGGCATCGGTACCTCTGCCATATCGGTAGCATTCGTAGAGAGTGAACTTGACCTTCAAGTTGGATGCGTCCAACGACTGTAGCCACTGGAAGTACGCCTGGTTGATCTCGTCAGATGGTGTTACGAAGAAAAAGTTGCGATGTTCGAGGAGGAAGTCGTCGAGCACCTCGGATTTGTTGCGCAGGACGGAAAGGCTTTTGCTGATGATTTCACCATTCCAGAATATGCGCTTGACAATCCACATCGCAGTGGGGATGTGGTTGGCATCGAGGAGTCGTCGTACGATCTGCAAATCGGAGTTGTCTCGGCGGATACGAGATGCGACTCGGACGAACTCGGCTGAAACCACGGATCTCGGAATGGTCTTGAACCACTTGACGTCGAAGGGGAACGGTCCAGCCGGGAAATACTTGACCAGATGGGTACAGTCCTCGGGGAGGAGCCTGGTATCGTACTGCTTATCGAACCACTCAGCCCAGATGCGAATCCCCACGGTCTTGGTCGAGAGCCGGGTCCTCACGTCGCTGGAAGTTGCTTTGAGCTTCACGAGACTGCAGGCAGGGAGCATTTGGATCAGCTCAGGGATCGAGAGGACGGTCAGGAGGACGGGGTAGGTCTCTTCGATTCCCAAGGCGATCAGCTGCTCATGGAGGCGTTGACGCTTGGCAGCACGGGTGCTCATCGAGCGGGTAATGCGCTTGGTAGCCTGGGAGGACATGGCGATGAAGGAGAGCTGGTTGGATGGGGCCTCCAGCAACGCACACTGGGCTCCCTCATATACCCCATGGCCAGCGGCGCCTGGGAGACGATGGTGGCCAGGTGACTGGGTGTCCAAGCCCAGCCCGTATCTCCGCCGTCCCTGCGAGGATGAGGTGTCATCCCGGGCGCGGCGTTCTGCCCCTTCTCTCTCGCCATCTCACCAGCCCCAGCCCCAGCTCCCACCAGACCATAGCCTCACCCGATGTCTATCGCTAACCACCCCGTCATCGCCATGGACTTTCTCACTCGCGACGTCTACTAAACCGCCACCGGTCAAGAAGGTGTCCGCAGGATGATGATCGCCAATATCTGCACCAGAACGCTTCCTGGCATCCATATGGTCTACATCAAGTTCAACGACAGCACCACGCCTCAGCTTCCCTTTGTTGATATGAATGGTCTCGCTGCGATCCGCCAGCGTATCGAGCCTGGCTTTCGATACCCAATGTGAGCCGCAAGGGGCAGACCAATACACCCGCTTTTCTCCCTGTCCCTGTCGTTCCGATTGGTGTGGCGTCAGCGGCGCGTGTGGCAATCTCCTCCTCTGGAGGGGCGTTCTGTCCGATGGGAGGTGCCTTGGCGACACCCGCCATCCCTGCCCCCGATCTCGCATCCCAGCTTCAAGCTCCAGCAATGCCTGCTTCCAGATCCAAGCGTCGATCCTCTGCTCAACGCAGGAACCCAGTGCCTCTCCCGCCCAAGCACACCACGACCGAGAAGGAGGATTGTCCTGTCATCGTTATTGACGACTCGGATGCAGAGTCAGATATCACCTGCGACATCGATCCATCCGAAGTCGTCCCGGGAATGCCAGTGTCGCTCGCCAGTCTTGCAGTCAATCACGATCCTCCTGTGATCTCGACCGGCTCCGGCTCTCTCCAGCACACCACGAGCCCCGAATCCACCGCCGCCTCCGGTGCTCCTGACACCCCTGTCCCAGTCCAGCCCGAGTCAGTTGTCGTATCGAGCCCTCCCGACACCAGCGCTGAAAAGATCGTTCGCCGCTTCAACGGCCACCCTCTCCTCGAGCCGTATCCCTTGGATTTGCTCCCGAACCGCGGTCTCATGGCCGATGGGTCGTTGAATCCAATCATCGAGTTGGATCGCTCGGCCAGGAAGCGAATTGAGACCATTATGGGGCACGTTACGACAATCACTCTCCCAGACGGTCGCATTCTCTCTGATGCTCGTGAGGTGATTGCTGTTTCGGATGGCAAAGACTTTCGTGCATATATGAAAGAGTCAACCGCCGAGCACGTCAAGTTTCGCAACAGCATCAAGGCCAAGTGGTCTAGAACGTTGGCGCACATACCAGCAGTTTACATCAAATTCGACGATGTATCTAGAGAGGTTGCATTCATCGATCGTCGAGGGTATATGGATATCATTCATAGGGGTATCGGGGAACCATCTGCAGTCGAGAGAGAGAAGCAGTTACTGGTCATGATGGGTATCTATGGAAACGATGTACATGTACTCAGCGAGATCCAGTGTGAGATACAGCAAGAGATGGCTAGACCCAACACAGAGAACAAGTACCTGATCTTCATCAAGGCAGCTGAGTTCAAAAATGCTCGCATGGAATAAAGTTCATATCTCCCCAGTTCGAGCAGTATATTCTGTCCATTGAGTGGCGATGGTGCAGCGCCAGTCATGTGTGTGGCGGTGCACAGACAAGCCAATTTGTGGCTGGCATGCGGGGCTGCGCACCAATTCGAACCACTCAGGTTCCAGCCATACTGCCATCGGGCGACGGTGCGTGTCAACCCCGACCCCCATGGGCGACATGTCCCGCAGCCTCCGTCCCCGACCCTGTTCAAAAGGGCGCACCCCCGCCCAAGGTGGTGCCCTGCCATCTTCGCCCCGCCGTTTCCTCCTTCACCAGCGATCACCAGCCTTCTCTTCTGCCTCGCCATGAGCTCCATTACCAAGACCACGCGAGCTGCCCCTGCTGCCGCCCCCCGAGCCAGGAAGAGGCGCGCTACTGCCCCAACCTTAGTCCAGCCCGAACCCGTACCCGAGCCCGTCAACGCCCCGAGCACTTCCGACCGTCCCGTCGCTACCGAGGCTCTTGTCGCCCCCCGATCCAGGAATAGCCGCGATGCTACCCCAGCCCTGCTCGAGTCCCTCAACGACTCGACACCTTACGATCCTCCCGTCGAAGAATCGAGCGCTTCTGATGCTCCCGTTGACACCGATGATCTCGCCACTCTCAGCCACGAGATCGATACCGCCAGCCTTGCGCTACCCGATGCAGATGCCGTCGATCAAGTGCAACAGCCAGCCACCAAGGTGAAGAGGCTCCGTCGCCAGGCGGTTCCGAAGCCTGCTGGTGCCGTGATTTTTCGTGGTCATCCACTTCTCGAGCCCTATCCTCAAACCAATGCGGATGGAACAGTGAACCCGATCATCGTTTTGGATTCCTCTCAGCGACAGATCCAGCGTACCCAACTTGGCCCGCTTCACAAAGTCACCATCGGGAAAGACCAAATCTTCTGCGATGCTCGAGAGGCCATTGCACTGTCCGACGATCGAAAATTTGAAGCATACGACAGAAGTCGTGATTCGGAAGACGATATTTCAACAAGGAACTCGATCAAGAAAAAATGGGGTGATTCTCTCCATTTTGTTCGAGCTGTTTATGTAAAGTTCGACGGCGATAGGGCGATTTACCCTTTCGTTGACGATCGGGGTTTAATGCAGATAATCAGTCGTGGGAAAGGTGTGCGTTGTAGAAAATTGAGGGAAACACATAATGAGGACTTGATCAAGGTTTATGGGAGAGATATGAGGATGCTTGCCCAATTGCAAGCACGCTTTGACCTCCAAGATCAGAGGGATGACGTGAGCCAGAATGAGGATGCTATTTTTTTGACTGGAGTGAAATCCAGAGAATAAACACGAATCGTACCGATCGATAGCCTGTGTGCCGGGTGAACCGTACCGATCGATAGCCTGTGTGCCGGGCAAACCGTACCGATGGATAGCCTGTGTGCCGGGCAAACCGTACCGATCGATAGTCTGTGTGCCGGGCAAACCGTACCGATGGATAGCCTGTGTGCCGGGCAAACCGTACCGATGGATAGCCTGTGTGCCGGGCAAACCGTACCGATCGATAGTCTGTGTGCCGGGCAAACCGTACCGATCGATAGCCTGTGTGCCGGGCAAACCGTACCGATGGATAGCCTGTGTGCCGGGCAAACCGTACCGATCGATAGTCTGTGTGCCGGGCAAACCGTACCGATGGATAGCCTGTGTGCCGGGCAAACCGTACCGATCGATAGTCTGTGTGCCGGGCAAACCGTACCGATCGATAGTCTGTGTGCCGGGCAAACCGTACCGATCGATAGCCTGTGTGCCGGGCAAACCGTACCGATCGATAGTCTGTGTGCCGGGCAAACCGTACCGATGGATAGCCTGTGTGCCGGGCAAACCGTACCGATCGATAGTCTGTGTGCCGGGCAAACCGTACCGATCGATAGTCTGTGTGCCGGGCAAACCGTACCGATCGATAGCCTGTGTGCCGGGCTGTCAAGACTGGACAACGGGGCAAGCAGGGAAGTGCGCAAGAGTCCTAATACAAGACTCGAACGTAGGGAGAGGAGCGGGGACTGGACTGGGACACAGAGTGTCAAGTGTAAAGCCAAAGTTTTATTCTAGATCCAAGGCTTAGGATACTAAAAATACAAAGTGGCAAGACGAAGGCAAAAGACAGAGGCTGGTCGGAGGGCTATTTATGCGAGCGCCAAGGATCGACGCTGGAGAGCGAGGGGGTAGGAGCGAAGCAGCGGCGGGGAGGGCGAAGCAGCGAGCGAAGCAGGTGGCGACCGTGACTCGGGATCCGTGAGTCAGCGGGCGTCAGTGGCGGCGGCATGGCGGCGCCAAGGCGTCAGGCGGCGTCGAGGCGGCGTCGTGGGCGTAACCCATGACCAACAGCAAGGAAGCGGGAACGGAACACAGACAGCGCGCGTGCTGGCGGTAAGACAACAAGGCAGCACAGCGCGGGAAACAAACAAACAGAAGGAAGGGAAAGCACTAAGACAGGCAAACAGAAAGGAAAGGGCAAGGGTAAAGGAAGGAAGAGGGCAAAGGCAGAGGGTGTTCATGACACTACCCCCCTCTCAAGGCCCGAGCTCCGAGAGGGCCAGGCTTCGAGGGATGAGAGGAGTGGTAGGCAGTGACAGGCTCCGGACAATGTGCAAGATTGCTGGCGGGCTCCCAGGTGCAATCCATCACCGTGTAGCCACGCCAGTGCACAAGATACTGGAGCTTACCTCGGAACAGCCTGGAGTCCAGGATCTGTTCGACTTCCCATTCGTCGTGGCCGTCGACTTGGATGGGTGGAGGGGGCGGGACGGTTCGACCTGGGATCTTGTCGTCGGCGGCGGGCTCGAGAAGGGAGACGTGGAAGACAGGATGAATGCGCATGGACGAGGGCAAGTCCAACTTGAAAGCGCGGGAACCGACTTGAGCGACGATCTTGAACGGCCCAAGCTTGGTGTGGTCGAGCTTGGCCGTGGGTCGCTGGGTCTTGATGTTCTTGGCGGAGAGCCAGACTGTTAGAGTCCGAAGGGGACTCAACGGCAAAAGAAGAAGTGAGCTCGAAGTGAGCTCAGGGAAGGCAAGGGTAAAGTCCGAAGTGGACTCGGAGAGGGAGCGAGGGAAGCAAAGATCCGTTCAAGATAAGACTAGTCTCGAAATGAGACGTGAGGAACACTCAGAGAATAAAGTAGAAGGCACTTTATTTAGTCCTATTTTGAACGCTGAGGTTCGACTACACATCGCGGGGGTCAGGCTATTTATAGACAAGTCCGGACTTGGCAGCGAAGGGCGGCCAAGGGAGGGAAAAGTGGGCGATCGAGCAGGGCGAAGGGGCGATGCACGAACGAGGGCCGAGAAGGACCACCGAGACAGGCAGAGAACCAAAGCGAGGGAGGCGCAAGCAAAAGCGAAGCACCTGGCAGGAGAAACGTGCAAAGGCGAAGCAATGTGACTCAACGTCCAAGAAGCGGATTGGTCAAGTATAAGGTTGGGGCAAATGCATGCGAGATGAACAAGAGATCGGGGCGGTCAGGCAGGTCATGAGTCACCGGTGGTGGGACACATGACCGGCAGCCGAATTGCAACCAATCGCAGCAAGGCGCGTGCACAAACAAACCGGCGCGTGCGAAGAAGACAAAGGAAGCGGAGCAGCGCGGGGAAACGGAAGTGCGGAAGGAGCGGAAATGGCAGGCAAAAGGCGGAAAATTGGAGGGGAACTGCAAAGCTACACACAAACAAACAGAAAGGCAAAAGAACAGCCAAGTGTGCAGTCAAAGTGGAGAACAAGCAGAAGCTATCCCTAACATCATCCCCTTCCTTAGCGACGAACTCCGGGCGTCGCCTTCGGCTTTGAGGGATAGCGAAGGTGGAAGTCAGCAACAAGATCAGTGGCGTGGGAAACATTGGCAGCGGGCTCCCAAGACCGGTCAGTCTCGGAATAGCCCTTCCACTGAACCAAGTACTGTAAGCGACCACGGAAGAGCCGAGAATCGAGAACAGTCTCGACCTCAAACTCTTCCTGGGAGTCAACAAGAATGGGTGGAGGTTCGGGTTGGGTGAACTCGGGAACAATGTCCTTCGTTCGGGGTTCAAGGAGGGATACATGAAAGACGGGGTGGACTTTGAGTGTGGAAGGGAGTTTAAGTTCAAAGGCAACGGGGTTGATGCGGCGAAGAACTTTAAAGGGGCCAAGCTTTTTCTGATCAAGCTTGTTGGAGGGACGAAGGGTGCGGATGTGGCGACGATCAAGAAAAACGAGGTCGCCAACGGAGATGTCGGGAGTGGGGAGACGGGATTTGTTGGCCTGCAAAGTGTAGGACTCTTGGGCAACCCGGAGGTTGGCCTTGAGATCCTCGAGAACGGTCTGAAGTCGGTCGACACGTTCTTCGGCAGAGGGCACAACAGAAGGATCACGGATGATGGAGGGATCAAAAATGGGGTGATGGCCATGGACTGCAAAGAAGGGAGTCATGCCAGTGGAGGTGTTTTCCGAGTTGTTGTAAGTGAACTCGGCAAGGGGAAGGTGAAGGGTCCAGTCGTCTTGCAGGTAATTGCAATGGATACGCAAATACTGCTCGATGACCTGGTTGAGAACCTCGGTCGAACCGTCGGTCTCGGGGTGGAAGGCAGAAGAAAGGGAAATCTTCGTCTTCAGAAGCTCATTGAAGCGCCTCCAGAAGGCCGAAGTAAACTGAGTTCCTCGGTCCGAAACAATAGACCGGGGACAACCATGCAAGCGGAAGATGTGGGAGAGGAAGAGTTCGGCGGTTTGCTCGCCTGTAACCGTCTTCGTGGTGGGCACAAAGTGTGCTTGTTTGGACAGGCGGTCCTTAACCACGAAGATGGAGTCAAAGCCGTTCGAAGGTGGGAGATCCGTGATGAAGTCCATCGACAGGTCCCACCAACGTTCGGAAGGAACGGGGAGAGGGTGAAGTAAACCATAAGGGGAGTGACGGGACGGCTTGGCTCGCTGGCACGCTTCACAATTAGCAATGAAGCGACGCACAGACTTACGAAGCCGGGGCCAGTGAAAGTCCCGGGAGATGAGCTCAACGGTCTTGGCAAGACCAAAGTGACCAGCGGCAGCGGAGCAGTGACGTTGCTCAAACACTTTGAGCTGGAGCTCGGGGGAAGGGACAACGATCAGGTCTTTAAAGTAAAGGAGACCGTCACGGAAGGAGTAATCGCCATCAAGACGTTTGGCGTTGAAGTCAGAAAGAAGGGAACAAGAAAGGGTGGCAGCTCGAATCTCGGAAAGAAAATCGGGGTTCGAGCCGATAACGGTGATGCTGTCGAGAGAAATAGACTCGAACAGCTGAAGGAAGTTGGTGGAGTGGAGGGAGTCACCAGGCTTTATCTCAAAGTCAGAACGGCGACTGAGAGCATCGGCTTTGGTGTTGAGGCGACCAGGGCGGTGGTAAATGCGAAAAGCAAAATCAGAAAGGAATTGGGCCCACCGGAACTGGCGGCGAGAAAGTTGGGAAGCGGAAGTGAACCGGGTGAGGTTCTGGTGATCAGAGAAAACAAGAGTGGGATGATCGGGGTCGGCAGCCATCAAGTAATGACGCCAGGCAGTAAAGGAATCGACAATAGCAAGGAGCTCTTTGTCGTGGGTGTCATAATTCACCTCGGCGGGACGGAATTGCCGAGAGTGAAAAGCAACGGGGTGAAGAGCGCCGTCAGGGTCAAACTGGGAAAGGACGGCACCCAGAGCAAAGTCAGAAGCATCGGGCTCGATGACAGCGGGTTTGGAGAAATCAAAGTAACGAAGAATAGGTGCGGAAGTGAATGAACGTTTAAGAGAATCAAAAGCCTCTTGGGCCTCGGGAGACCAAGAGAAGGTGGAGGATTTGGTGGTGAGTGAAGTCAAAGGACGAGCAAGTGCGGAAAAGTCCTTGACGAAGCGGCGGTAAAAGTTTGCGAAACCAATAAAAACTTGGATGTCGCGAGCAGAAGAGGGAACAGGCCAAAGGGAAACGGCCTCGACCTTGGCAGGGTCCATTTTAATGCCATCGGCAGAAATGATCATGCCGAGAAAGTCAACTTCAGAAAGGTCAAAAGAACACTTGGCCGGATTGACCTTAAGAGAGTGTTCACGAAGGCGAGAAAGAACAAGCTTAACATGCTCCTCATGCTCCAGGGGATCTTTTGAGAAGATCAGGATGTCGTCAAGATAAATGACAACACAGACACCAAGGAGGTCCGAGAAGATGTCGTTCATAAAAAACTGAAAAGCAGCGGGGGCATTCGAAAGACCAAAGGGGATAACATTGTACTCGTAAGAGCCAGATTTGCAAACAAAAGCAGTCTTCCACTCATCGCCCTTCTTGACACGAACCAAGTGGTAAGCATCAGGAAGGTCAAGGTGTGAGAAGACGCGGGCAGAAGAAAGTTTATCCAGAAGATCCTGGAAGAGGGGAAGAGGGTAGCGGTTCTTCTTCGTGATGGCATTGAGGCCCCGGTAGTCGACGCAAAGGCGAAGACCACCATTGGGCTTCTTCACGAAGAAGCAGGGAGCACCAACGGGAGAAGAGGATTTGGAGATCCAACCACGTGCGAGGGCGTTGGTCAGATACTCCGAAAGAGCAGATTCCTCGGCCGGGGACAAAGGATAGACTTTCCCCGGCTTTGGCAAACGAGGTTCCTTTCCATCCTCGGTCCGTACAAACTCAATAGACAAGTCATACGGACGGTGAGGAGGCAAGGAAGAAGGAGGGTCAGACTTGAGGCTGAAAACGTCGCCAAACTCATTGTATTTGAGCGGGACACCTCGAGAGTCAACAGGGGTGCCAGACTCGGCATACACCTTCGTCGTGAGCACGGACCTTATCGACACCGTAGGATACGTCTCCGGCGAAGGAGGACGGATATCCATTTGGGCAGCGAAAATGTCGAGCTTGTCTTCCCGTGCAAGACGGAGAAGACTCGCCGCATTAACGAGCTCAATGTCGGGCGAAGATAAAGCCGTTGGC